TTCGTTTTTCTTTTCTGTTTGCATGGTAGGTAAATCTTTTTCCTACCTTTCACTGTTAGGCTATGTGAGTGTTTATGGGTGAGGTGCGTCTCTTGAAGGCAGCATGTAGTTGGGTCCTCCCTTTTAATCCAGTCAGCCAGTCTGTGTCTTTTGATTGGGGAATTTAAGCCTTTTACATTAGAGTTGTTATTGAAAAGTGTTGATTTATTCCTAGCATTTTATTTATTATTGTTTGGATGTCTTAGGTGTCTTTTGTTCCTTTCTTTCTGATGTACTGTTTGTTTTCTGTATTTGTTGGTTCCCTGGGTTGTAGATAGCCTTTTTGTTTGTTTTCTCTTCACGAATGCCATTTTTATTATAGTAGTGGGTTTTGATTTTTCTTCAGTTTTTATGGCAGTGGTAGTTATTTTTCAGGTACCAAACCCAGTACTCCCTTAAGAATTTCTTGTAAGGGTGGTTGTGTGTTGGTGAACTCCCGCAGTTTTTGTTTATCTGAGAAATATACTATTTGCCCTTCATTTTGGAAGGACAGACTTGCGGGATAGAGTATTCTTAGCTGGCAATCTCTGTCTTTTAGTATTTTGAATATTTCATCCCATTCGTTTCTGGCTTTTAGGGTTTGTGATGAAAAGTCTGATGTTAGTCTGATTGGGGCTCCCTTACAGGTGATTTGACGCTTCTCTCTTGCAGCTTTTAAGATTCTCTGTCTTTGAGTTTTGCCAATATGACTATATCATGTCTTGGAGAAGACCTTTTCGGGCTGAATACGTTTGGGGATCTTTGAGCTTCCTGAATCTGAAGATCTGTGTCTTTTCCTATACCTGGGAAGTTTTAACTAAAATAAAACATATATTTTAATATTTTTAATGACCATTATTAAATGTTAGGAAAAATGTACTACCAATGCCTTCATATTTCCTTTTGCATTTAATGATTTTATTACCTTAGTAAATTCTTATGAGTCTCTGGGGGAGGGGAGCTTTTTTACACAATAAAATTCTACTTAAGCAGCATATTTAATACCATACTTTAAAGAGTTCTTTACCAACATTTCAGTTTCTCATATTTTTTTATTCTGAAGGACAATTATGAAGATCCTCCAAAGGTTTTGAAAAATGAAACAATTTTATATAAAACATCCTGTCTTTCCCTCTTCTTTCTATCCCTCAGAAAAGCACATACAACATCTTAATTTCACTGTAAAAAGAATTCCTGATGATATATTACCATTTCTCTAGTCCAGCTCTATCCACTAAGGCAGCCACTAGCTACATGTGACTATTAAGTCCTTGAAATTTAGCAAGCGATTGAGGAACTAAATTTTTTATTTTATTTTATTTTAAATAATTTAATTTAAATTTTAAAAGTCACGTGTCTACTGGCTAGTGTTTTGGACAGTGCAGCTGTAGAGTGCTGTATATAGAAACCTAGACATGAAAGACAATATAACTTACAAGCTGAAATTAAGGGCAGGCTCAAGGGAAAACTATTTCATAAGCTTTTATCACCAGCTAATTCTAGATCAAGAATTGCCTCCTTCAGACTTTCTTACAGCACTTTTCCTTACTACAAAAATAGGCCTTCAATAAAAGCTTGCAAAATGAAATTAATACAGCTTTAAATCTACTCCAAATCAATAGGACTACCAGGAAAACTTCTCCATTTCATCAAATGTATAGAAGTGCCCTGATTTAAAATGTCACAATTGTCAAGACTGATATAAAGGAACTGATTTATTTGCAGTTTTCATTTAAATAATAAATAATAGCTCCTTTAGAACACTAAAAATACGGTTTTGCTTACAAAAAGTTATTTTAAACACACTTGGCCAGAGATGTCTATTGCATAAGGTAAGATATTCCTAGCCAAGAACCCTACTAAGGATTGCTGCTAATTACTACTATACTCTGTCACTTACTTACTACTAGACTTTGACTAGGTTACTTAAATCCTATGCCTCAGGGTTAACTACACCTACTTTAAACTCAGGGTTACCATACCTTCTATATAGAATTATTGTAAGATTTACTGAATAACATGTGAAAATCACTTGGGATAGGACCTATACATGGTAAGCAAACAATGAATATGTTGTGACAATTTCCTGTCAACCTGGAGATTATATTTTTGATGGATGAAAACATAACACATATGCAAAGTTACACAGATAAAATTACAAAAGAAGCTAGATATATATTTTTTTCATTAGGTCTTACTCAACCTATGAAACAATGCTCCTTTAATAAATTATATTGGGGCAATCAAAAACCCTAGAATGTTGACATGTGTCTTATAACATGAAAAAGGCAAGCCATCAAGGTTTAATTTATTTCCCAAATGTATAAATATGACTACTATTTTGTGTCAACATTTTTATTAGTGAAAGTTAGGGAGGGACTGGCTGGTTAGCTCAGTTGGTTAGAGTGTGGTGCTGATAACACCAAGGTCAAAGGTTCAGATTCCCATACAAGCCAGCTACCAAAACCAAAAAAAAAAAAAAAATTCTGCTTCCAAATATAGAAGTGAACTTCTTTTTAGAATCAGATAGTTTAAAACAACAGCTTTATTGAAATATAATTCACATAAGACGGTACTTCAAAAAGTTCATGGAAAAATGGAATTAAAAGACAATATGAATCTTTCCATGAACTTTCTGAAGATCCCTCATATAATTCACCTATTTAAAAGTGTGTGATTCCATGGTTTTTAGTATATTCACAGACAGGTGCAACCAACACCATTGTAAATTTTAGAGCACTTTCATTATCTCAAAAAGTCACCATATACCCTCTTAGCTATGACCCCCATTTTCCTCCCATACTCGCAGCCCTAAGAAACCACTATTCTACTTTCTATCTTTACAGATTTCCCTATTCTGGACATTTGATATAAATGAAATGATACAATACATGGTATTTTGTGATTGGCCTTTTTCACTTAGCATAGTGTTTTCAAGGTTCATCCATGTTACAGCATGTACCAATATTTCATTCCTTTTTATGGTCAAATAATATTCCACTGTATGAATAAACCACATCTTGTTTATCCATTCATTAGTTGACAGACATATGGGTTGTTTCCATCGTTTGGCTACTGTAAATAATGCTGCTATAAACATTCACGTACAAGTTTTTGTGTGGACCCATGTTTTCATTTCTCTTAGGGTAGATAACAAGGGGTAGAATTGTTGGGTCATATGGTAACCCTATACTTAGCCATTTGAGGAACTGCCAGGCTGTTTTCCAACATGAAGCACCATTTTACATTCCTACCAGCAGTGTGTGAGGTTTCTGATTTCTCTACATCCTCACCCATACTTGTTACACTCTAGTGGGTATGATGTGGTATCTCGCTATGGTTTTGATTTGTATTTCCTTGATAACTAATGATGTTTGGCATCCTTCCATGTGCTTACTGTCCATTTGTTTATCTTCTTTGAAAAAAATGCCTATTCAGATCCTTTGCCCATTTTTAATTGGATTAATTGTAATATGATTGAGTTGCAAGAGTTTTCTTTTGTATATATTCTAGCTACAAGTCCATTATCAGATACATGATTTGAAAATATGTTCTCCCATTTTGTGGATTTTCTTTTCAATTTCTTGAAAGTGTCATTTGAAGCACAAAAGTTTTAAATTTTAAAAAATCCACTTTATTGGGGCCGGCCCGGTGGCGCACTGGATAGTGCGCCGCTTGGGAAGCGCGGTGGCGCTCCCACCCGAGGGTTCGGATCCCACATACAGACTGGTTCCCGCTCACTGGCTGAGCGAGGCGCGGGGGCAACGCCGAGGGTTGCGATCCCGTTGCTGGTCCCGGTCCGGTACGGGGGCGACACTGAGGGTTGCGATCCGTTGCCGGACACGGAAAAAGACAAAAAAAAAAAAAATCCACTTTATTTAATTTTTCTTCTGTCACTTGTACTTCTAATGTCATATCTAAGAATCAACTGCCAAATCCAAGGTCATAAAAATTAATCCCTGTGTTTTCTTCTATGAGCTTTATAGCTGTAGCTCTTTATAGTTGTAGCTCTTATAGTTAGGTCTTTGATCCATTTTTAGTTAAGTTTCGTATTCAATGTGAGGTAAAGGTCCAACCTCATTCTTTTGCATGTAGATAACCAATTCTCCCAGCACTATTTGATAAAAAAGACTATTATTTTCCTATTGAATAGTCTTGGCACCCTTGTTAACTAGAGACACATGACCTTATTTCTAGAATCTCAGTTTTATTCCACTAATCTATATGTCGGTCCTTATGTCAGTACCATACTGTCTGGATTACTGTTGTTTTGCAGTAAGTTTTGATATTGAGAAGTGTGAGTCCTCAAACTCTGTTGTTCTTGTCCAGATTGTTTTGGCTATTCTGGGTCCCTTGCAATTGCAGATGAATTTTAAATGATCTTGTCAATTTTTACAAAGAAGCCAGTTCAGATGCTGATAGGGATTGCACTGAACCTGTAGCAAATTGGAAAGTATTGCCACCTTAACAATATTAAGTCTCCCAATCCATGAAAGTAGGATATTTTTTATTTATTTAGATATTCTTTCATTTCTTTCAACAATGCTTTGTAGTTTCAGAGCATAAATTTTGCACTTCTTTTGTTAAATGTACTCCTAAGTATTTTCTTCTTTTTGATGTTATTGTTAATGGAATTGTTTTAACTAGATTCTCTGAGAATTCATTGCAAGTATACAGAAATACTATTTATTTTTGTGTATTGATCTAGTATCCTGCAGCCTTGATGAACTTGTTTATTATGGGGGTATTGATAGTACTCCAATTCATAGGGACTATTAGACTTGCAGAGTACTCAGCCTGGCACGTAGTAACTGTTAAATACCAGCTATTACTACTCAAATACTTTGATATTTCAAGTGCCTTATGAATGTGTCTCACTATATTTATTCAACATCTCCTATGTGCAACAGTGTGACTGAAACAGTGACTTAAAAAAAAAAATACTGTCCATAAGGAACTAAGTCTCAAAGCAGAAATCGATCCTACTTGTCCCTCAAGTGATTTGTACAGATGTCAGATAAACTATGAATAAGCTTTCTGTTATAACAAATTTGCCTTCATACACTCTTTAATTAAGAGCCTCAGAAAGCCATCCACTTTTGAGCCATGTAAATGAGGTTCTGCCTCCCTATTCTTCAATGTTTGTTACCAGTTTTTCCACAACTCTACTAAACACAGGTATTATTGCAGAATGATGCTGCTGCACTGCACATGACCAATATGACAGGAAAGTTTTACTGTCTTGTAATTACTAGCTTTGGTCTTTCTTTCCACAAAGTCTATTTCAAGTGCTTGTAATTTCTAGAGAAGGGAAACAAAGAGAAATGGGGAATCAGGGGAAGTGGGGATTATAATAGCTAAGGTTCCTTCAAGACTGCAGTCTCCAATCCTACTATTCTATAGAAGCTTACCAATATATTTTTAACTAAAACAATCTCATTCCAAACAGTCCTTTAAACTTAAGACATCTGCTTAGTGTTCTAAAGCATGATTTAAAAATCGACCAGGGGGGCCGGCCCGGTGGCGCACTGGATAAGTGCGCCGCTTGGGAAGCGCGGCGGCGCTCCTTCCCGAGGGTTCGGATCCCACATACAGACCGGTTCCCGCTCACTGGCTGAGCGAGGCGCGGGGGCAACACCGAGGGTTGCAATCCCGTTGCCGGTCCCCGGTCCGGTACGGGGGCAACACTGAGGGT